CCCCCCCCCCCCCCCCCCCCCCCCCCTTTTCCTTTTTGGGAAATTTTTTCCTTTTTTTTTTTTTTTTTTTTTTTTTTTTAAATAAAGATGACTGTTAAGGAGGTCTTAACCCTTGATTTGGTGTTTGCAGCACCACACTCTCCCAAGTGAGCTAACCGGCCATCCCTATATAGGGATCCAAACCCTTGGCCTTGGTGTTATCAGCACCACACTTTCCCAAGTGAGCCATGGGCCGGCCCTCTGTTCTGTCCTTTTGAAAGTTCAATGTATAGTTGTTATTGTTGTATCTGTCTTTCTTTTTCATGCAGTATTTCTCTTTCTGTGCCTAGCTTGTTTCACTTAACACAATTTTCTCTTAAGGTCATCCATGTTGGTGTGAATGGCAGAATTTCATTCTTTAAAAGTTATATTCTTAAAAGGGGAATTCACTTGTTTCTTTAAATAGCGAGCCTGCAGATATTCTGAGATCTGTAGAATAAGGAATCCTTATTCCTTGAACATTAGCACCTGATGCTAACTCAATTCCTGTCGTATTTCTTGGCAATTTTAAAACTACCATAATTCTGAAGTTGATGAATGTAAATCCAGGTTATCGGCAATAATGGTAATGTGATATGGAAATTTTTGTGGTGTGTATTGGTAATAAAGTCATAGTTACTGCTAATACATCTGTGGCTTTCTGTCTTCATTAATAATTTGGAGGGAGAATACTATTAAGAATCCCTTCCGACAAACATCGTAGCAACTTTTCTCCTTCAGTGATCTTGTCTTCCATCTACTGAGGGCCGTTCCCTACTTTGTCCTTCTGTAGATTAAATTTCACACATCTCACTCTATCCTAGTTTTTTTCCTTTTTATTGTGAGATATAATACATTCCTAAAAGTTCAAAATACATGGCTTGGCAAATTATCACGAAATGATAATCTGCATGAGCACTACCCAGATCAAGAAACAGAACATTTCCAGTACCCCAAAACCCTCCTTTGTGCCCCTCCTAGCTATAACCTCCTTCCTCCCCCCAAATATAACCAGCTGACTTTTATGACCAGTCACTTCCATTTTTTCCCTTAGCATTTTACCATATTGATCCCTAAACACGATAGTTTAGTTTACTCTTTTTCCTCCTGGGATATTGCCAGGCAAAGGTAACCCATAATTACATCTTACTCTGCTGCCTCTGCTTCTTCGTCTGGGTTATTGAAGGTAACTGGAGAAGAGCCCCTCTGGTGATGCTCCAGGGCACTTTTGAGTCAGTGGTAGTTACCAGGTTCGCCATACTTTGTTCTTCCTCCCAGACCCTGGAATGTCTTTGGACACTGCAGACTTCTGTGTCTCCAGCTGGGGTTTCATCCATTGGGTATTCTATGTCTTCGACAACTAGGTCTGAGCTTGCCAGAACCTTATCTATCCCAGACTCCCATCCTCTGGGCCAACTATGGAGTCTGCTGTGCTTCTCAAGAATCCTGGTTTTTGATTCCCCTTCAATCTCCCTTCCTTTTCTCCCCCCCACCCCCCCCACCCATTTCTTGCAAAATGACGTGCTTTTGAATAATTAGGTCAATATAGCCAGAAAAAGAAATATATGTCTTTTCTAAGTTATTTATGTATTTAAAGTGTGTTGTCATCAGTATTTGTTCATAGATGCATTAAAGGTAACCAAAAATGTTAATTTCTTTGAACATGTTTCTTTAAATGTTGAAAGCTTAGTTGTTTTATAATCCATCACCAAAAATGTTGAAATATTATGCAGGTTTATTTTTGCTGAGCTGGTTCTTTTTTTTCTTTTTTTTCTTTTTTTTTTTTTGTCTTTTTCCATGTCCGGCAACGGATCGCAACCCTCAGTGTTGCCCCCGTACCGGACCGGGGACCGGCAACGGGATCACAACCCTCGGTGTTGCTCCCGCGCCTCGCTCAGCCAGTGAGCGGGAACCAGTCTGTATGTGGGATCCGA